TGGCCCAGGATCGGACATTGTTTCATTCTGCTGTGCATGGGGTCGCTATGAGTTGGTTCCAACTCGATGGCACCTGACAACACCAATGACTCTCTAGCTCTCCTTGGTTGAAATGGGACTGGAAAACAGCACAGGCTTGGACACCTGGGTAATGCCTCTTGCTTTTTTCTCCTTATTGTCTCTAAGAGTAAAGGAGGAATGGCCAGGTCATACCTGCCCAAAGGGCCTGCTCATGTGATCTGCAGGGTGCAGAGAACAGTGGGGTCAGCCAAGGAGCTACAGGAAGCAAGTGTGCATGAGCGAGCTCTGCCCTTAGGTGTTGACATTTACAATTTGGTAACGTCTCTGGATGATACAATGGTTAACTTTAACACACTTGGCTGCTAATCCAAACTTTGGAGGTTCTAGTCCACCCAGAAGCACCTTGTAAGAAAGACCTGGCAATCTACTTCCCAAAACTCAGACACTGAAAATAATATGGAATACAGATAAGTCACCATGAGTCAGAATTGACTTGATGGCAACTGCTTCACTTCATTTGCTTTTAAAATATGGCCTAGGAGCTCTGGGAGCGTAGTGGTTACAAATCAGGCTGCAAACCACAAGGTCAGCAGTTCGAAACTTCCAGCCTTTCGGTGGGAGAAAGATGAAGCTTTCTGCGCCCATAAAGATTTACAGCCTTGGAAACCCTGTACAGGGTCACTATGAGTGGGAACCAACTCCACAGTACATAACAACAACAACAAGCTTTATGCTCTGCTTCTATTCATTTGTGGGGGATTTTGTTGTTAGTTTCTTGAGGGAGGCACTTAGCAAAGCAAGTGAGCAGAAGGGTAGACGGCTAGGGAAAAGGCAGCATGAAGCCACCATGTGCAGACTACCCAACCTACTTACCCATCTGTGGGCTTGGAGGTAGGTACTATGGAGAAGAATGAGGCCTAAAGTCCACTTGCAGGTGCAAATAGGTGAAAGATACGCATAGTGAAAGTAGCTACCCAACTAGAATAGTAGGTGGTGTGTGTTGAATGCCTGGAATAGGCAAAAGGTAGTAGAAGAAGGAGTCCCTGTGGGTAAATCAGCGAAGTCATCACAAAAGTGATGATCCTGGGAGGATGGAGGCAATGCAGAGGTAGCGGGGGTTAGGGGGTGACACTCCAGGGCTGCCAGCTCACAGCATGCACCCCCAAGGAAACACCTAGAAAACTCAAACTATTCCTTCTCCAGGGTGGGGTAGAGGGCATAGCTGCAAGGGGCACTTGGGGGGCAGGCCAGAACAAGAGTGGGTGCTGGGGAGCCAGGTAACCAGGAACAAGAAACGCCTGAGTTCAAGGGCGAGCCCATCTCCCAGAGTCCAAATCCATCTGTAACCAACTCTAAGAAGTGGCTTTGAGATCAGAATGAATGACAAGGCCATAAAGACTTAAAACTGAGGAGATTCAAAAACATAAGAAAAATTCATGGGTCCTGGACAGTTGTCACAAACTCAGCCTTGGCCATATGATTTTGAGGCATTAGCTTGATTAAGATGCCTTGTTTTGATAAATCTTGAAGTTTTCATTTTTACAATGCCTTCAGTGCACCTTGAACCATTCAGTACCATTCCTTCAGTACCGCTGGCTCTTGAGCATATGTAACTCTTGAAATGGTTGATCATCAGCCATTTCTTTGTGGTACAGTGACTCTGTGTTTTCCTTCCATCTTCTTTTGATGTTTTCTGTACCATTCAATATTTTGTCCATGTTGTTGTTGTTAAGTGCCGTGGAGTCCATTCCAACTCATAAGAACGCTATATAGGGTTTCTAAGCACCAGCTGATGAGCTTGACTCACCAATCTTGTGGTTCAAACAACTTTGCAGTCCTACGCATTAACCCACAGCACCACACCAGGATTTTACCCATAGAACCCTTCAATATTGTAAGTCGAGACTTGACGTTTTCTTCAGTTCTTTCAGCTTGAGAAAGAACTTTCAGCTCCCTTTTGGTTTCTAACTCCAGATCTTTGCAAATTTCATTATAATATTTGACTCTGTCTTCTCAAGATGACCTTTGATGTTTTCTGCTCAGCTCTTTAACATCCTCATTCTTCCATTTGTTTTATCCTCTCTGCACTAGATAGCAAGTTTCAGACATCCATTCTTATCTCT